CTAGCAACCTGAAGGTCCGAGGTTCGAATCCCAGCCGTGCACATGCAAAATCAAAAAGTAGCGAGCTGGTAAAATTGCACTAATAAGTAGCAGAACCAAAAAAAAGTGCCGTATACGAAGCAGTGTATGCCACTGGGATAAATTGTGTAAGACCCGTCCGTAGAGGCAAGTCATTCTACCGCTTTCGTCGTTTTTGACTTGGCAACGCTGGAGTCAATGTTGTTGTCATATTCTGACAAGTCCATATTTTATCGGAAGTTAATGTGATATGAATACATGACCCCTGACCTCACGGGTACATTAAAAGTAAATAGCTGGACATGATCAAATTTTCTGACTTGTCGAACGATTCGATGTTTGTGAAGTGCGGATTCTTGTCTCGAGTATTTTTAATTTATACAGAGTTAAAAATGTACAAGCTAACATTGAGTGTTAAATAAATTGCAAACTGGCCTTAGAATTGATAAAAGTTTCGCTGGCAATAATGCGTCGTTAAATGGTGTTCATTTCGCACGGGATTTGCGTTGTGAAATAAATATCAAGGGTTTTGGCGAAACACCAAAATGCCTGCAGCAAAGCAACGGAAAATAGCTGTTATGGGATATAGGTCAGTGGGAAAATCCTCTTTGAGCATTCAGTTCATTGAAGGACAGTTTGTGGACTCTTACGACCCAACCATCGAGAACACCTTCACAAAGACCGTCAGGGTGAACTCTCAGGATTATGAAATTCGTCTAATGGACACTGCTGGTCTAGATGAATATTCTATGTTTCCTTCACAATACGTTATTGATATACATGGCTATGTGTTAGTGTACAGTATCACTAGTGTAAAATCGTTTGATGTAGTTAAATCAATATATAATAAACTATTAGACATCACAGGAAAGGTCCAGGTTCCTGTTGTCCTAGTGGGGAACAAAACAGATCTTCATTTAGAGAGACAAGTGTCCACAAGTGATGGTAAGAAGTTAGCTAAAGACTGGAATGCCATTTTTCTTGAGACATCCGCAAAAGAAAACTTATCTGTATCGGATGTATTTCATTTGTTACTGTCCGAGATTGAAAAGGCAAATGGAAATTCAGGCGACAAGCCAAACTGTTCAATATCTTAATGTTTAAATATTAAATCTAAAGAATCGCTTTTTTTCCATTGTAATATTTATTTTAAGAATGTACGTTAACTATTCGTTCCTTCAACAAGGAATATGATCTAATTATAATTATTTAATGTATAATAAAAAAAAGTAAAATAGTAGTTATGTAGGTTTTTTATTCCTCTATATACTGGGATAAGGAAATGTGTCTAAAACGAATGGTTAAACTAAAATAGCATATAACCGCAATTTTTCATAGATGACATAAGAAATACGGGGTGTAGCTAGTTTTTAGTATGCTTTCGTTTATTAAAAGAATTTTCTGTTTATATATTTTTTTATTTGCAAAGTTTCTAAATTCGAACACAATTTGGTGGCAACGAAAAAGTAAAATCGTTTCCTTTCACTTTTATTGCGGTTACTAATCTTCAATCGCAAACTATTGTTTTGTTTTTCTTGTTAGACGTTTTTGCTGAATCTTCAATTGCAGACTGTCATTTGTCTAGTTTTTTTGTTTAATAGTAGTTTTGTTCTTGCTGACGTTTAGTTGAAGGGTGTCCCACCGGGAACCGCCGCGATCGATATCTGGCAAACTGTAGTTAGGAAAAATTTGAAGATTGGACAGTGTGCCGAAGTCATTGGGGGCAAGCGATATAAAATATTTTCAAGATGGTCACACTTCCGGTTACACCGGAAGTAGGTTTCAGGTTGCTGATTTTAACTGGAACACCCTATATATTATTACATTTTTGAATTCCTCTCCAAATTCTAAATATATTTTGTGTATAATATCCTGTATCTAAGTCTAACCGTTTTTAATATATTTGAAGTTTTATGCAAAAAATGTCAATTGCAGCCACTCGAATAATTATTTATTTTTCCTATAAGGGAATTTGTCTTAACTTAATTTGAGTAGCATTTATTGTTGAAAAGGACTTACTTTACTTACTTTCAAAATGACGTTGAGGAGACCGCCTAAAATCAATTTGTTTCAAATGGAAACCCTCATTTTTGATAATTTTATCTTATTCAGTATTAAAAATAAGGGTACGTTTTGTAAAGTTGTATATTCTTGTCAATTTAATGTTTTCATATGGCTATTTTGCCGCATCTCATTTTAAATCCTGTCACTCTTAGTTGCCATGACGAAAGAGGTTATTTTTAATACAATCAAATGCCAAAGAAATAAAATACACAAAATTACATTAAATTACACAAACGAAGATTATTTAAACTTATTTATTATTTATGGAGGATATGATAGATATATCAAGAATCGTTTATGTATTATTAATTATTATTATTATATCAAGTACAAAAACCAGTGTTTTTTTAAATCTAGGGGCTTCTAATTTTTTTGGTTGCTTTTATCAATTGAACATGCCTATTATTTAGACGTATTTATCATGATTTAAATCACCTGACTTTTTTGGAAAAAAATCACGATTTAAATCAAAGTTCATTTTTTCAAGAAATTATATATTTCCACTCAAAAAATATAAAACAGAACACAAATAATTCTAAGAAATGAAAATCAAAATAGAAAACGGTACATGTGAACTTAAAAATTAAA